AAATCAAACCTCTTCATCTAGAAAGAAAGAGGAGTTTTAAAATAATATTTGGAATATGTGGTTATTTGGGTTTTTTTCCATTTATTAAATAACTGCCCACAGCTGGACATGTCCGTGATCTGAAAAATTTGTCTGTTAACTGGCTATCATAAAACGAGGAAGCAGTAGAGTGAAGTTAGTTTATATGTGATGTAAGAATAACATTAAAGTATGCATTTTAATATTTAGCTTGATAAATGTTTCTTTTTCCATAGCTGATGGAGATAGATTAGTGAAATACATAGAATTTTAATGTTGAATTTGCAGTTCACTTCTTCAGATAAATGTAAAATCTTTGTACAGCAATGTTTCTTTGCTAGTCCTTTATGTATGCAATTTTCTGCATTTTGAAACTCATATTTATCATAGATCTGAATGCATAGTAAAATAAAACGGAATGTATCTGCATTCATCCATCACTGCAAGATTTTCTTGTGTAGCTTCCCACAACTATATCTACCTCCAGTGCCATAAGACCTTACTTTACTATTTTCACTCTTAGTATCTGATTTTCATCTCATAAATCATTTTGACAATGAGTTAAATCCAACAGATACTCTGTCTTAATGTGGAATTACATTTAGACTTTACAGCACCATTTAAAAGTACATAAGAAAACAAAGTTTAGTTTTGTCAGTTTTACTGTTTTCTTTTTAATACTCCTGTTACCTTTCTTCTTTTCCTAAATGGCTTATTGTTATATCACTTGATTCCCAGTGTTATTCTTGAGTCTTGATCCACCCGACTCCTCTTAGCTTTCTACATCTGTGGTAATTTTTTTTCCTCCTTGGTTCTTTCAGAGCTTTCAATGCCTTTCCTGACTATTCATATTTGTGCTTTGACTTCCTTAAATTTGTGGATGTTAGTAATTCACTTGATTTGAAAGAATGATACAAATTTCTTCATTGGCTTATGTATTCAAACCCGAACTGCTTCTCTTCACTGTTGACACCAACTCACACATGGTTTGCTTAAAAATTGATTTCAAAGCAAAAAAAAAAAAAAAAAAAAAAAAAAAAAAAAAAAAAAAAAAAAAAAAAAAAAAAAAAAAAAAAAAAAAAAAAAAAAAAAAAAAAAAAAAAAAAAAAAAAAAAAAAAAAAAAAAAAAAAAAAAGGCTTCACAAACCAAAGTTTTAAGCATATATATAATATATGTATATAATTATTATCTGAACAGCTGTTAATACAACCCATAGGGGTAAGTCCTCTCCAATTTTGACATAAATTAAAACAGAAATTTAATGATTTACTGCAAGGCTCAAACTGAGATGAAAAATGCCTCTGATGTTCTAAATGAATATAGATAATATACTCCTAAATAGAGCAGAATGTTAATGTATATATTCGTGTTTACATTTTGCATATTCTTTGCAGCAGCTGAGCTTCTGTACTTCTGATGTAGTGTTTGTTTGATTGCTGGGGCAAATTGCTTGCTCTTTCTCTCTCCACTTGTATGTCTATTTACAATACTATAAGAATTAGTGTTAATAAACCGAGGATAAATTATTATCTATTGGCCTGCTAATCAGCTCGTTTATATCAATATAATTCCACTGAAAATTATTAGTCCCAGTATTTGGTAATTTCTCTTAATTTCCTTGGGCAAAGAAAGCTATTTCTGTAATCCTTAGAAAATCCCACTGATTAAGTTCATTAAGCTTTAGTAAATGATTAAGAATAGAAGTGATTTACTGTATTTTGCTTTTTCTGGCCCAGTCTATTAGTTTACTTATATTGCTGTACTATCAGGAAAGCACCAGTGTTTTGTAGTACAAACGCATAATAAAACTATGGTCTTTTGCCAAAAGAGATGAAAATCTCAGCAGTGATTCAGCTATGGCTATCAAAGTATAAAAATTTTAAAATACAGTATGAAAAAATATCTGTAGGCAGCCAGCTTACAGTGTACAGTAATATCAGACAATATAGCCAAAATGCAGCACACCTGAAAATGTAAATAATTCTTATTAATCTCCTACAGTACTGAAAATTCATAATGGTAGTCATACCATAAATAGACAGTTGTTCACTATATCCCAGCTGACCTGTTGCTCTCTTCTGCTTCAGCAGTCAAAGACCGATCTCTGCTTTGCTCAAGGAAATGCAATTCGTGTGACTATAACTCTTGACATAACCAGATAACCTTAAACTCTATCATCAGTTTCTGATTCTAATGGATATGTCCTGAAAAGAATTGAATTAGGTTCCTGTACTTCAGCCTAATCTTATAATGCGATTTTGTAATTCTTTAGTACCTTTCATATTAAGCAATAAAGCTTGCAAATATCGTTCAAAAAACATTGCTAATATTGAAAAGTTAAGCACAGAAAGTTACCCAAAGCTTTGTTCATGTTGTAACAGAGCAATTGCCTTTAGCCATCTTATGCGTGAGCTGTGATATTATTTTTAATTGCACAATCCTACTGTTATTTCAAAAAGGTCATGCTGTAGTCAGGAGAACAATGGGTAGTCCTTATTTGTGAGGAAGCATTTGATACTGAATTTCCTCCTAAGGGTTTGATATTTAATGGATATTTTGATATTTAATACAGCCCTCTGTTACTGCTGAGTGTATGTCAGTCTTTCAGTCAGCTTGCTTTTGAGGATCAGGTTGTCACCCAACTGTGAACACCTTTCAGAAACCTCAGCTGTGTCACCCCAGGGTTGCAACTTGAAACCTTCCAGATGCCAAGTGCCAAAGAACAACCAGGTATTCCGAAATGAGCCAGGGCTCCCAGCTGTATGTGGTATGGCTGGTGTGAATGTTGACTGATGCACAGGTTAGCAGTGAAAAGGCAACTGGGAACAGCTTTTGAAACAGTTCTTAGGGCAGCAGTATGTGATTTCACATCATGGGACTCTCTCTTCTTGTAGTCTTCAGACCAGCTAACTGTGCAGTTTTCCATGTCGGCAGCAAGTGGGAAGGGATGCTACAGAAAACAGGCTCAATCACCACACTTACCCTCTGCGCTAAGCACGGGGGAGGGGTGTGTGTGTGTGTGTGTGTGTGTTATAGGATCACTTCACCAGAGACTGTATTAATATAAATATGCACAACCAACAAGTGGAAGTTAAGGCATCCCAGAGAGTCCTAATGCTGGCATTTTAAACATTGTAAAATACTTTTTCCTTGTACTGGAGACATTTTACTTTTTTTTAATTTTCCATTGCCTCTAGTTTTATCAGTGCATATTAAATTTTAAAAAGTTTCATTGCTGACATCTGCAGAGGTCATCAGCAAAGCAGTAACTGCTATGTTTATTGTAGGAACTTCTGCCAACTCAAGCTGGCAAGCCAGCTCATATTAGCAGAATGGTTGTCATCCTTTACATGGGCCATTTCTAGCCTTGTTTCAAAGACATTTGATAACAGCAGAATAACAGTGAGACCTCAGCAGTTTTGTCTCACCTTAAAATCCCACTGATTTTCCTACTTAGGTTGTCTTCCTCAGCCCCACGTCTCACTACCTCTCCCCCTGCAGGTAGGGTGCAGGGTGGATAACCTCCGTTCTGTTCTTCAGCTGTTGTGCAAAGTCAGCATCCCAGCTGCGTGCCTGAAATCCAATGAGACATTTTCAGCATCACTGTTTACTTCCTTTGCTTCTTCCAAATCTGCAGATATATTTCTGCTGCACACTGCAGTGCAGTGGATGCATAAATCACCTACTTATACGTGTATATGCACAGGTATTGCAAATATGCCAGTGGCAGCAGCATGGAGCTCAGCCAGGTTAATTTTTCTCGCCAAGATAGTCTGGTTATACACTTGGCTGCACCTGTTTAAAGTATCCTGAAAGAATAGGCATATCCAGTACTGTGATGACAACCACTGTCAATGATTTTGTACCTCACAGAGACTCTTTGATCTAGAAAACAGTATATTTGTAGTTGGCAGCCAATACATGCTTTAAAATCAAATGCTTGTTTAATGAAGGGAAACACTGTGTGTGTCTTTTGATACTCTGTATCTGAAGTCATCACTGCTTACAGTACATGACAGGTTTTGAAAAACAAAGCTGCTGTGGCTTCTCTTTCTGTACTATTGCCTACTGGGATTGCAGACATTGTAAAGTTATCCTTTGAGCAATTAGAGCAGTGGCAGTAAAGACAAAACCTCTGAATTTGTGCTTTGCAATTCTGCATGAATATAGTTATAGTCCATAATTTTACACAGAAGAGACTGTGTGGCTCCACTAAGCCACACTAACAATGACAAATAGGACAAGTTACGAAGAATTTATCTGAAAATTTCCTAAGTCAGAAAAAACCCTAAAGAGATAAGATTACATAGAAGCCCTGCCCTTTAACAAGAAAACTTTAAACTGAAGGTGACATGTACAGAAACTGAGTAAAAGAAAACTAAAAAAAAGCAAGGCAAGAGGAATGTTAAGAAAATAGGAACTTCAATAGCTCAGAGGTAACTTACTCTTTCACTTTGGAAGAAAATACATCACTGTGACATAAGCCTAACTTACCCAGAGACTTCCACTAGAATAAGAAACCATGTAATAATTAATACATTGTGGTGATATCTGGATTTCCAAAGTTATGTTTCAGAGCTTTTTACAGTGCTCTTGCAACACTCAAGAGTTTTTGTTTCTATGCGGCTGTTGATATGTATGTAGGCCTGGTAAGGGTTTCCCGGGACAATTTCGCTACTCTGTCCCCAATAGAGGTCACACCTCATACATGATCCCATCATTTACAAATTAATTTATCTTCATCTTGAAATTAAGTTTTTTGTTACCATTACTCCCATTGAAAAGCTGTTCCAGAGCCTCTAAACTCTCTGATGATTAAAAATATTTTTCTGATTCCTAGCTTAAATGTGTTCTCAATCTATTTATACTATATTACATTTCATATAAAAACTCCCCCTCCTTTAGGTTATACCTCTTTCTCCAAAATGTCACTTACCATCTGTTTTCTATGTGGTCATTTTTCCAGTCAACCTTTATTTTTGCAGACTAAATCATACCACACGTGTCAGAGGGAGGTTCTGTGCACTTATCCAAGTAGCTGTAGTCCAATGTAAATTCATCTCTCCTGAAGGGTACAGTAGGGTACACAGCATTTGAGATGAGAATTCAGCATTATTAAATATTCAGGTATCTTTACCAGAAACACCTCTCTTTTGCATTCTTTGTGATACTTGCCTTTTTCACAGCTATTGCCCATTTTGCGTCATAGTTTGAGTGGCTCATAGTGGCCCACAATGGCTGACAGTTTTCTCACAGTTTTCTGTGACTGTCTCTTATCTTATATTTCCAGCTCTCAGCTCATTGTGAAGACTCTTCTTGTTGCTGCCCGGCAGAATGACAGAGCATTTACACTACCACACTTAATTCCACTTTATAATCTTCTCATTAAGGGCATTCAGATTTTCCTAGTCTATACCCTGGTGTGTCTCCGGGTTCAGTACCTCGTGTATGCAGGAGCAAATTCACCATTCATCTTCTCCTCCAGCATCCCACAGGTGTCACTCATACATGCAGTTTAGGGGAGCAAATTCATTCAAGCTCCTTAACTGTATTTACCAGGGTTAGGGGGGCAGTCTGGTGTATACAAGCTCTAATAGCAAGGAGACTTATATTTGCTAGTTCTTAAGCTACAATACACATTTTTACCAATTCCAGTCTTTATATTTTAAAACAATGTTTCCACATTATAGAAATTTTCTCTGCAAGCATAAGGATAGAATTACTCATTCTAAAATTCTGATTTGATTTTGAAATTTTTTTTTTAGCCTCTACTCTGAAGACTAATTGTGCAAAAGAAAATAGATTTAATGTAAATGCTTAAATTCCCATAACTGTAGAAAACACAGGGATCTTTTCTTTATCCTCCAGATAAATCTGAATCTAACTGCATGATTAGGTGACTGTAATAAAATGAAAAATTTCAGGATCAAAAGAGATACACTCTGTTTTATACCTCATCCAGGTAAATATGCTTCTGGTCCAAAATTACACAGGATATGGCAATGAAGTATGTTAAAAATTCAGTGAAGTCAGTGCTTAGTTATGCATTTGTGTGGCAGTGCATCTCTTATTGATACAGGCAGTGTGTGTCTTATTACCTTCAAATATGCTATGAAATCTTGAATTTATAAAGCCTGTGAAGTTACTTTGCTATGACCATGTGTCATAGGTTTACTTGTTCTAAAAAAAAAAAAAGGGGAATTTATTTCTTTCTCCTGCCTCACTGTAAAAGAAAGATCTTGAATGAGGGAGGGGGAAAGTGTTTGCCTAAAATAATGGACACACACAAGAACTAGGTAGCAGACCCACAAGCCAGAATCATAGCCCTGAGAAGACTGAGGGGGGGAAGGAGGAGGTTTTTTTTCACTCCTTGGGGAACAGCACTTTCACTTTTCCCCTAACTCAGGGAAGGTGTGTGTGGAGGGCATCCAAGGTTCACTTTGTTTTTGGCCTGGTCATCTGGCTGTCTCTGGCCCTGGTTTGCCTCCGCTTTCCTGCACCCTGTTCTGCCCCCAGCCCAGACCTGCTTGGATTTCATCAGAGAGGCTTGACCCATCTGCAGAGGAACATTTTGGGGAGGACATCGCCCTTTCCCTCCTCCACTCCCATGTTTAGCAGCTGCTTGTGCCCCTTGACGAAGGGGGGAAATCCTGGCCACAGCCAGCTGCAGACAGTGTGAATTTCTTGAGAAGAGCCCCTTTTTTCCCCCTTCCCCTTCTTGTTGTGGGGGGAGATCTCCATTTTTGGCTTCTCCCGCTCATGGGGGTCCCACGTGGCAACTGCCAGAGCCCAACAGCGCCCCCTGTGGGCCAGCACAGAGCAACTGCAGGCTCTGCTCTTCCAGAGATCCAACAGCGCCCCTGCTGATCGTGGTTAGAATTGCACCAAAAGGCAGAAAGTACTGAACTGTTTCTTTTTTGAAGGAGATTTTGGGGTACAGGATTATTGTTTGGTTGGTTTTGTGTTCTTTTGTTGTTCTGCCAATACACATATATCCTTTAATAAAGGGCTGTCATTTTTTTTTCTTTCTCCATACTTTCTCATTTGGAGCCTCTTAATTTCTGATTTACAATTGCTTAGAGGGAGGAGTTTGTTCTTCCTCATAACTCATCCTTCTTAACAAAACACTTCAGTCTCATTAAAATGAGACACCATGGCAGCCTCGGTGTATTATACATGACATGAAGGTGAAGGCCAGCTCTTGTTTTCCAAGAAAAAAAAGTGAACCTGACCTGATCAGTGAAAAATATTTAACTAATGTTCTCTAGGTTTGTTCTCTCCTAACAGCTGAGCAATACTAAAATTGATAAAACATTGACCAGATATTTTTCCTCCTAGCAACTGTTATACTGCACTCAAGTAATTAATAAAACCCCTGTGTTTAGAAGAATCATCTCTTAATTCACTAAGCATTACCAAACACATATTTTTAGCTTTATTTTCCCTCTTCTCAAAGATCTGTGTGCCTTGGTAGTTATTGTCGTGTTTATTGACAAAAATAATCTCCAAATAACATCTTAACATGATATAAACAACACATAGGGGAAGAAACTACCATAATCAACACAGCAGCTGGATAGACAGCATTTTGATCCTCTAGTTACCTGCTGCCAAAGTCAATCCAAAAACCACAGCTCTAAAACAGTATGAGCCACCAAGGAGACAGAAAATAAGTTCATAATTTCATAATGAAATCTCCTTTCCTGCTGATTTGTATTCCACATCTGGATGGTCATCCAGATTCCTCTTCCTCCGCATCTCCTCTCACCTCCCCGTCATTCTCTCTGATGACATGGGATGACATGTGGTGTGGCTGGTCTCAATCTAAACAGACTTTGGACTCATGCTGAATAGGTGCACTCACTAAAGTGCCCCTTTCTACTAGACTCTTCTATCCAGCTGCCAATTTTCAGAAAATTCATAGGTGCTTACTATGTTTGAGATCTCTGTCCATCTGCCAGATTTGTCCCAAATGGGTCAGTTGTTTCCATCATTATCAGGGGTCAGTGTAGATAGAGGGAAGCCAGAGAAGCATTGTTTCCTTAGGATAGCCACCTAAAGATCTCCTGAAAATGAAGTAGCTTAAATGAAAGGTTTTGTTTGTTTCAGTTAAATAAATACATACCTGTGGGGATGGATATGAACTGGAACAGAAACTGCCTCCCTAAAACTTTGACGAAACCAAGCAAAACAACCTCTTTCTGAAGCAGACGTGGCAACAATTCCCAGTCCTGGATTGTTCTAATGAAAGCCTGGAGTTTGAGACAATCCACCCAGAAAAAAACAGAAAGATTCTTACATTTACTCAGCAAGGATAGCTCTTCAGAGAATTGTGCAGTGAATAACATTCATCATAGTCCTTTTAACTGGGATGCCTGCATTTCTACTGGAAAAATAGTTCTTTCTATCAATCCTACCCATTGTAAATTTTCCTGCTTTCCATGTAATATTTTAATTTTCCTTTACACCTGTTGTCTTCATTAACATATGCAGAACAGCCTTCTATCTGTCATGGAGCAGGCTGGATCATGGTATTACTAATCTCACAGAAAAACTAGAGTACTGCAATTTTCATTTACAGAATCAAGAAACATCTGTGAAAATTACTGTGGTGCTGCAGTTTGGGTGCTGGACAGAAGAGGGTGCCCTTCAGATAGCCTGAGAGAAAAAAAAAGACCTTGGCTGTGGGCACTGAAAACAGCCAGAGGTCGGCAAACTCCCAATGCAGAAGGAGACCTTTCTCGGTGCAGAGAGGCTGTGGAAGCCCATGCAGCCTGCACTGTGTGGCCTGGAGAAGGGCTTGCTTGCACACTCTGAGATGCTTGGACACTTGAATAAAGACTGAATGAACAACAGTAGTGTTCTGATGTAGCTGGAAATCCTGAGTCCAGCGTGCTGGGATTGAGTGATGCTGCTATAGTTTCTGCTGCATTCAGAAGGTGGCTGTAAGCTTATACATTTAATGTTGGATATGTGCACCGAAGTCTCTGTACTGTTCAAATCAATGCTTTAGAAGGTTGCAACTTAATCAAGACTGTACCTCATAAACCACCTGAGGAAACAAATCCTGTGCTTGCCTGCCTGCATGCAAATGTGATTTTTGACTCGTATTGCTGGAGTCCCTGACGTGTATACTCCTACAGGGGGTAAGTTTGTTGGCTGCACTGAATGAGCAAAAATGCTTCCACATTGTAAAACACTCCCATAACATTGATTCAGGTTTAATCGATTACATGAGGTAGTTCAGAGAGCAGTTACAGCTGTGCAAAGTGTTATTTGTTGTTAGAATTTGACTTCGTGTGATAACCAGGCAATAAACTCTCAGTCAGCTGTCAGTCTCTGTAGGAATGAGGCACTGTGAGAACTTAAAGATCTGCTCGGAACATTTCTATCAAATAAATCATATCTCCTGAGTGGATATTTCCACCGTTTTGACAAGGAAAAAAGAAAATGTTGTCTCTGGTTAGATCTAGAAAGGCTAAGCAGAGTTGTAATGATTGCAAGCCAACTCTGTCTATACACAGGATTGATGCAAGAGTTCGGGGTGCAAAGATGTTTTTAAATCTTGATTTACAGTGTGTTTTTCAAATAACAGAGCACTCACAGACCTCAAATGATACTCACTGGATCGTGTTTGTGTCTCAAACATGCTGTATATTTGAAACTGAATCTAATGCTTTTAAATGGAGTAATGATTAGTGTTTTTAATAAACAGCCTGAAATCCGGTGTTAGCTGGTGAGTTGTGAAACAAGAACATTCATAGGACATACTGCAGTATATCAGCTCAGCAGAATTGAAATTTCACTTTTCCAAATGCTTCTTCAGAAAAAATTGTGTTTTCAGGGAAACGTGTTCTCCAGTGGAATTGAACCAGGGTGCAGAATAAGCTGCTATAATTATGCAAGCCCCATCACTAAGATAATTACAAGTATTTTAATCGTCCTGAATTCTTATATCACAGTAAGAAAACTTCTGTCCAAACTATGTTTCATCCATAAAACTGTTTAAAGCATGAAATCTAAGGTGTGTCCTGAACAAATGAAGCACAGCTTCATTTTGAATTGGTGAAAACCATAGTTACAAGTGATCAGAGTTTATAATGTAATGCTACTTTATCTTTGCTGAATGAGGTAAAAATACCTGGAGATAGTGTTTTGTAGCCACGTTTACACAAATACATGACACAACTCTGAGAAGACCATTATGGATTCTTCAAGAACAGTTACAGAAGCCAAGAGAAAAGTACTTCACTCTTGGAGAAGAAATACTGGCATGCACAGGCATAATAGGAAGAATGACACCCTGTCTTTTGGCCATAAACTCAGCTTCCCTTGGATCGTGATCCTTTGCCTGTTACTGTACAGTCAACACTGAAAAGACTCAGAGAAATGTGAAGTAGTGTGATTTTCTTTGTATGTGTCATAGAAAACAAATCAGGAGATGAAAAAGTAATGTTTGACTGCTTGTTTTGCTCATTTTTATCTTTCCTAAATACTCTGAATACCATCGTCTTCTATGGAAGCAATTGAACAAATTGGGTAAGTTTTTGCTGCTGTTTCAGAAGAATAATAGAAAGCTACTTGTTTAGTCTGTGGTGCTGAGCAGAAATTACATGGCATACTGACAGCAAAATAGACTAATAATAATAATAACAAATTTAATTAATCTCTGCTATACTTTGAGCTGGACTGAACTTACTCTGCAAGACAGGAGAATAACTCGTATATGTATTATTCTGGAGGAATTACAGACATAATCAATACACTTTGCTTATGGTTCACATCAGTGAGTTGTCATAACAGTGATTATAAGTTCTCCATCAGTAGTCAGGGCCAGATGCTCAAGCTGCTCCAGAAGTTTCTCTTGCTTGACAAAACAAGCATGAGTTGGTACAGGCTGATGCCAGACTAGCTTTTTATTTGAAAAGCTGACAGTCAACATTATAGACTTTTTCACTCATTTCCCATTGGTGCTGTATTAATGGATTTCTTCAGTAAATGGCCAGAAGTAGCCTCTATCACAGGTCCATCTCTTTTGGTCATGACTTTCCATTTACTCCTTTCAGCAGAGTAAGAAGCTCAGAAAACTAATGTTCACATTGTCAGAGATTTGGAGGTATGGCAGAGATGGGGAGGTAATATGGGTTGGGAGTTCAGGCTTTTAATATAAGTGAGCTCTTGTAGACACAGTGAGAGCAACCCTGCTGTTTTCAGGATGTAAGGGGTGGAGGAGAGTAATTGTAGTGTATTTGAATTCATAATAGACAGGATTCACTGATTCCACTGCTTGTTGAATGACAAAGTACAAAATTACACAGAAGCGGCCGTAATGATGAGACAGGTATGAGCCCAAGCCGCAAATTCAAATCAGAAAGCAATCACAGGATCAGCAAAGGATATAGCCAGGCACAGCCATATCTGTAATGCAGCTCAGGCAAGGACTGATAGCAGGGGCCTGAGCTCAAATGCAAGTGCAGAGGCCCCTGATATGATGTCTTACAGCTCTTTCTCACACTACACTTCTCAAAGCATTTTGGTTGTATTGAAGCTGATATCAAAGAGTGGTAGCCAGACCCCTGGGTGACAGGCAAAGGGAAAAGAGACTACAGTGTGTTTGTGAATGTGCAGCCTGACAATACGCAGTGGAGTGGCTTTAAGGATGGTGGTGTTGATTTGGAGTTTTTTTAACATTGGACTTGAGTTCCTAAATCTGTTGTTTCTGTAGAAAAAAAACATACAAAGGGCTGAATTCTATTATTCAAGCAACCAGTGATCCAGCTGTGGTTTCTCATACGCACATAAAATTGGTTTGTATCATAGTAAGACTCTGAGCTTGTCTGGTAATTACCTGCCATACCTCGCTTTGTGTCTGCAGCTCCTCAGATGGTGACCTGCTGTTTGTTAGACAAAGACCACCTGGTTAACAGAAAATCTAGCTAAAGCCACAGCAGAAAAAGCAGAATTAGAAAGTGGATGGGCTGCCTCACTCACCAAAAACAAGCTGTTGGGGAACACCTTGAAGGAGTTGTTTGAAGTAAATGTGCTGGCTGAACCATGTGGTACTGGGTGCAGATGCTTGGACAGAAGCAGGAGTGTATAAGTGCCCTTGTGTAGACAAGCTGGGAGTTATATGTTCATAGAAGTGTTCATCATTGAATGTTACTGGAGAGAAAGGTCATCATGTAGAAAATTGGTTTTTAACACATGTAGGCTTCAGGCATTTTAATTAGACAAAGAGCTAGTTTGCTACCTAAATATTTCTTTTCTGAGGTTTGTGCTTTGATTCTGCAGTACTGTAGGGAAGGAAGATCTGGCAATAGGGGACAGCTCGTTGCACTCAATCCTTGATAAAAGGCTATTACTGCTAGAGTGAGCACTAGAAGACATACAAGGAGGTCTCACAGGATTTGAATTGTTCTGGAAAAGGATTTGCTATCTGAAAGATTTTTAAAAAATCTTATTTTTTCTGACCTCTAGTAACCCAGCCTAATTGAAAGCTGTGATTGACTGATTAAAAGATGGAGTCTGCTTTGCCATTGTCTCAAGCACGGAGCTAAAAAGCCCTGATGCTACAGCTCGAGTGCTACAGGAGCTGAGCTACTTGCAAAAGCTCCAGGAGGCACCTAGCAAGCCATCAGGGGCAGGGAGAGGAGCAGAAAAGATAAGAAGTTGTTACAAACAAGAACACGGCAAGGACTTACTCTCCCATATAAGGTATGCCAGGCAGACCTTGCTTGGAGACTGGGAAACCGGCCAATGGACACTCAGGGCCCATCTTGGTACCAGGCGAATTTGCTTGGATACTGGTGAGCTGGCCAATGGACACCCAGGGGCCTCCACTGTGAGGGTATTTGAGGCGGTGCCCGGGGACTCCTGAGGGGCTGTTCAAGGACTGCTGCGGGAGCTGCTGCCACTCTGATACCCTGCCGGTTCGGCTGGTTTCTCAGAGGCTGCAAGGCAACCAGGGAAAAAGCCCAATGGAGATCTACCATATTGCGAGCCAGCGGCACTTCATGGTGGTCGTAGCTCCTGTCCTGTGCTTTTAACAGTTACACTTAGCTTCTCCTAGTTTTACGTCTTCCTGTCTTCCTTCTTTCTCTCTGCTCCTATGTGTTACAAGATAGAGTTGTGGTTTTGCGATCCAGCTTCTGGCCTCATTTGTGCCTTAATCTTGCTTAGGGATATGTTTTGGAACTTAGTTCCCCTATGCATCTAAGTGGATTGGAACAATAGCTTGTTTGAAGATTGGAAAGAAGTGTTATAAAAAAAAAAATAAATTATCTGCAACCTTACATTGGCTCAGCAACCATTAACTGTAACACACAGTTTTATTTATTACTCTGAATGTATTCAAGCTGCTCGAAGAAATTAAGAAAGTGCTGGATAGTTATATTACAGTCAGTAGGAGTCTTTAGTTTCATTGTCATTCTGATTTAAACTGTCAGTAAAACAGAGCAGTTATACTGAATGTGAAATGAGACATGAGAATGCATGTCTGTGCCTTGTATTATACTCATTGGTTCATGTTTCTGTCATTGTATTAGGTTACTCCACCCCCTCACCTCTCATGGATCAGCAGTAATATGATTAGCACATCAGCAGAGGGAATTTCCAGAGAAAAACAGCATGTCCTTTTTTTGAATGGTGATAGATTAGAATTTCTCTCAAATGTGGAGGCATTCTTAAGTTATTTAGTGTCACATAAAGCTAATAAAATTTTATGGAAGACAGATGCAAACCTATGTAGTTAAATAATTGGTTTTTAGGGCTGCTTCACTGGCAGGTGTTCATCTTCCTTCTGTCACAAACTGTTATCCTGTGCCCATCACTCCACTGCGTTACTCTTATAAGGAGCTCAATAATATCGAACCAGTTACAGTTACAATGAATATATCATTTCCCATGAGTAATTAATTCTGCCCTTACCGTGTTTCTCTCTTTGGTTTGAATTTTTCCAACTTCAGTTTCCATTACATTACTGTGTTCAAGTTTGTCCCCCCACTACGGATTTGTGGAGGGCTACAATAGGGTGCATCTGCCCTAGATTTCTGCTTCATTCCTGTGTCCGTGCCCAGTTGTGCACGCTGCACACATGCTGCTTCAGTCCCAGCTTGTGTTTTGGATCAAAGCAGCTGGTTCTCTGTAGGAGAAAACTTGTATGTGTCTGGAGGCTCTACCTCACTGTT